CAATGATGGGGGGGGTTATTTGTGATTAGGGGGTAGGGATCATTTCGGGCCGACTGCCAGCCATTTGGCTTAGGCGCCGATGCTTGTCAACTCGCGGCCCTCCACCTATTTTGGAAGGCGATTTAAAGAATATCAGCCACAGTCTCCTGCCATCTGCTTAAGCCCTCTGAAAAAATTGAAACAGTGGTGATAGATTCCCTTTAAAACCAACAGGGCAAAATAAAACATATTCTTAAGCAAATGGCAGTTTTTGTGAGTGCCCGCGGGAATGCAGTGCACAGTCTGCTACCCAGTTGTCTGACTGGCAATGCAGGGTGTGGCGTCAGCCCTCGACTCTGGGGAGCTAGCAAATGCATGAAAGGCGTCACCGTGACAATCACTTCTGGATTTTGAGGTTTTGCTTCGACACCAAGTCGGAATTTACTGCAAAAACCCAGGGGGGACACTTTGCCTGTCAAGATGATGATGCGTGCGCGGTTTGCGTTGCAAATGGCAGGTGATTGAAACATGGCCAGCCGCAGCATCACGGCTTTACACGTGACCTTGTTGCGCACTGCAAAGCTAAGCACGGCCTGCACAAATCTTGAACATACAGTGGCTCCCGCACTTCAGCCAATGAATGTAGGACAAGGGAAGTGTGGCAACACCCTCTTTGGTTCTCCCTTTCAACCAAAAACAAACAACAAAAAACTCAAATTTTGGTCGCTGCTTAGCGCCCACAGATTTTCCCGATACTCCCAGCACAGCAGGATTCAACTGGGGCCAACCCTTGGATTCTCTCCGGAGCGAACCCCGTCCTGATAGCCCCCCGCAAAGCCATACCAATAAAAGGCATTCGGATGCGAGTTGGTCGTGAAGTCCACAACGTCCTAAAACAACGAACCCCAAGTTCCCTATGTGGCCATGGGACAGAATCCAAATCATACCCCCAGTGAACATCCCAATCCCCACTAAAATAAACAGACATGGGTGGTGCACCTACCCTAAAATGGTACCATTGGTTTTGACCCACAGCCATGTTTCCCCTGGAAATAGTTGTTTAAAGTTTAAAGCGCACGTTTTTAGACGGGAAAACTGGGGAGTCCCCTACAGGAACACTCGGCATTTGCACAAAAGGACCACCAGCATCTTGAGGATTCCCTACTGTGGATGGCTGCGAAGCCTCGCACTACGGTTCATGAGTCACCATGGGAATGAAGCCATAGCGTTTGCTACAGTATTTACAAGTGAACCGAATTACTCCAAGTTTGCTTAGGTGGTGTGAAAAATGTGCGAAATTTGACATGGATTTTGTCCGTCCACGTGATTTTTCTCGGTGAGTGTTCCCCTCCAAAGGTAACCCCCAACTAAAAGGGGACAAACCTAGCATCAAACTCTGCCGGGGCATTTTTTTAAATCCAGAGACCCCATAGACCGATTCCTGGGACCCTAGCACACCACCTGTTGGCGTTGCCAAATTTACCAGTTTCTTTCGCCACGCCGAGAAGACGCCTCTCACTTTCCGAGTTGGTCTCAAATCAAGTCCCAAACTGTTCTTTACCACGAAAATGGCATCCAAACCCCAGTGACTGAAGTGCAACTCGGGAAGTGAACCCAGTTGCGGGGGAAAAAACAGTTTGTAGCTTGAAGCCGAAGCCTGGAAGCCGGGCTGCACTAGTGTCACATACAGGCGTGTACTATCAAAGGACTTTATCACGGGGAGGTTCCCTTGGCCACTAAACATTGACCGGGGCAACCTCCCAACAAAACCAAAGGAACCCCGCAACTTTGAGCAGCTTGTTGAGGTGCCATGCTTGGGGCTGCCAAAAAAGAACACAGCTGCCATGCTGGAGGGTTCCCTTCTGCTCTTCTAGGTCCTCCAGTAGAGAGGCTAGAACAAGGGTACCCTTTTTTCTGCGGTCTATTTTAGTAGGGGAACGTGAGAAAGGGCACTACTGGGGGACCTAGTCTTAGTACTGCCTCAATGGTAAACGGCAGGGTGGGTTTTGGCTGCGGACGTGTCTGGATAACCCCGCGGGCGCCAGACAGGGCAGAACCATGAAAAGCTCCAACCAAATCTTGGCACAGAAAACCATATTTCATGAGTCCGTTTGGCGGTCTTGGATTCAGACGCAAAATCTTGCGTAAAAAAAAGAACTTTTGGTTGCCCGATATCCAGCCTACACTCAAATCATTGTGATGTGAGTTTTCCAAGGAGACCTCAGCAGCGTAGACCGAGGTGCCACGGTGATGGAGCTACTGAAGCTGGCCAGATCGAAGCGCACCAGCTTCCCCGAGTTGGAGCTGAAGCTGTCCTGACAACGTACGCGTTTTTTTTTTTTTTGGGGGGGTTCTATTTGAGCGGCCTGAAAAGCTGGTTAAACATGTTGGGTAAGGGAAGCGTTTTTTTAAGCTTCGAGAGCGGCCTGAAAAAGCATGGATTTCCATGTTGTGGGGTAAGGGAAGCCCCTAGTAAATCTAGCCATCTAAAGCAGATTTTGCCCAGAAACTGGTAATTAAAGGTGATGCCTTGACTGTCCCACAGAAGTCTCTTCTACCAAACGCATCAGGGTCCACAAATCCATGAAACCAAAGGCTGCTGGAAGACAATGTCTTCAAGAGACCTTCTAGTGGGTTCCATGTTAGTGTATGAAAAAGCGGCGCACGGATGTGCATCTTCTAGCCCGCTCCTATTCATTCGGGCTATTTGGGCGATAGGCTCCCGGCCTTCTTCACACAAACGGAGAGAAAGCCGCTAAGACCCATGGCCTCTGGCCACGGTAAGCTGTGACACCAAAAAAGACACCGTAGAAAGTTGTGACCTCAGTTCTTTTTGTGTTATTGAAGATGGAAGAATTCGCAGCAAAGGAAGACATGTCGCCTTGCCCCGGGTTTCTGGGTTCCTTTGCTTGCTGTTTGGTTGTGTTTGCCGTTTCCTTCTTTGGGGCGCTGACGAACCCGGTATGCTTTCAATCAGCTGTGCAAGCCAGTGGTGAGCGAAAAACAGCCCCGCGAGTTCCAGTCGCGCTCGGCTCGAGCCTGGTAGGGGACTAAGTAGCCTGAGCGCGTTTTCGAGTGGCTTGCTCCGCCCCTGACTCCTTTGCCTCCCCGAAGGGAAGGTTTTCCGGGAAGGACAGCTAGCAGCAGGGTGGTGCCCCTTGGAGTTTGGACACCCGCAACAACTCCTACATATATTACCTGCATGAAGGGAACGTGTGTGAGTTTGGATTGATACTCAGTTCTATTGGGCCTGCTTGCACAACGAGAACGGCAGCACATAGACATCTCCTGCCTTGGAGGGCTCCTCTGGGCGACCAAACCTCCTGCTCAAATCTAGGAAGTCTCTGGTCTCAAATCTCCCCCTGTTGAAAAGTTGAAAAAGAAAACCCCATTAAAAGTAGTCTGCCGGGGATCCCGATTTGGGAAGCCATGGTTTTCTATCTTATGTTATTTTATTTTTGTTCTTCTTTATCTTTTTTGGGGGGGGGCCTGCAAGAAAAACAAACCAACTTCAAACAGTTCAAGTGTGTGGGCCTCCTCTACAAGTTATTTCGTCGGGCCCTTCAACGTTGTTCCGTGTAGCCAAGTCCAAGGACCCCAAGACAACTTCTCTGCATGGCCTCCCCCAACAGGGCAAACTAGGTGGGGCCATATGGCTGTGGGTCAAAACCAATGGGGCCATTTTGGGGTAGGTGCACCACCCATTTTAGGGGGTACGGGCTTTTGACCCATAGCCATATTCTCAAATCAAGGGACCCAGCAACTTTTTGCACGCCAGGCTGGGTGGCTCCTTCTTGGGTGATGTCAACCGGGCAGAAAAAGGACATCCCCAAGTCTAGTCGCAAGAGCCCGCATCCCCTGTCACCATTTCTGGCTTGCCCCGATGCCCCAAGCCAAAGCCACGTAATTGGAAACGGCTAGCAGCGTGCTGCAAACCAACCCGAGCACCACAGTGTTTCCTAGATCCCGTCTTACACTTCCCCCCACCAACACAAACTCACTTTGAAATTGCCACAGGACATGCGTAAGAATATTTCGAAGAGAACGTACCAAAGGGAAGCAAACAGCACTCCAACATCTGCCTTGCCACCGGGCCACCTTCGATGAGGTACTTCTTCACATCCCAAAGGACACTCACACCACACATTTCTCAAAGGTGAAACTTTTCCAACTAGAACAGGTCGGCTTTAGAGAGCGTGATCCTAGCCAACATTTGGCATACCAGCGCCCAGACTTCAGTTTGCCTGAAGCCTTGGGTGTTGGTTTCGATGGACGCCCTCACAGAGCCGGGAGCACGTGCTGACGTCCTTTGGGGTCCTGAGAATCCAGCTGGACCCCTACTCGGTTTGCTTCACCCAAGACGCCGTAGGTCCCGTCTGTGAAGCCGGCAGAGAAAGATCTCAGGTAGCTGTCCTGGCGTGGGTCCCTTGCATTGAATATGGCCGCTACTTCAGTGCACCTGCAAGTTGCGAATTCCTTTCAAAGGAGATTCTAAATACTACAAGTGAAGGGGCGTATGGGTTGGACTCCAAAGTTTAAACGCTAGGATTGATTTCCGTTTCCTTGCCTTCCCATATCTTCCCATAAGCACAATCTCAAAGGCCTCTCAGGCCTTTGGCGGCGTCCAGAACCAAGAAACTAACATATCGTTGATCACTTGCAACATATAAGCCAATAAAGGGAGCGGGTGTGGCTTACATGTTGTGGATTTGGAACCCGAATGTGGCCTTTCGATCCCTTTCGCTTCCTCTTGCTTTCCATTGAGCAAAGCGAAGCAGTTACTTTCCAACACCAAACGCTCCGTCCTCAAATGGTTCGGGAAACAGTTGGGACCGGGGCCTGAAAAATGATCTTGAGATCGGAATATTTACTTCAAGAGACTCTGCTGCCATGGGCACTGCCTAAAACAACTCCCTCCATTTGCTTCAGTGTGCTTCTAAAAATCAACATTTTTCCAGTAGTGATAGAGGAACTTCAGCACTACGTAACTACGAAACACTGGAATCATGATTCCTCTGTACATACCGGCAAACATTGTGGTTTCCCATGGCTTCATTTCGTGGTGCGACATGGATTTTTGCAACCATCCACAGAGTCCCTTTAAAACCAGGGGAACATGATTCACTTTCTGAGTGGATTGACAAAAATTGCCAAACTGTACGTCTAAAATGGTCCAAACCTAAAAAGTGTGAAGTCCAGGAAGTGAGTTTTGGTCCCCCCTTAAACCCACCAATCAAAAAGGGCTATCAGGATTCGAAAAAGAAACAAGCGACTCTTGACCCTCTACGAGAACCAGGGACCCGTTCAAATCCAAATCCAGTTCCCACATATTAACCCAAAGTATTAACCCAACATATTAACCCAACGTACTAACCCAACATATTTACCCGACATGACCTACTAACCCAACACATTAAGCAAATGGAAGACTCTCTCGCAACTGTTCGCATCCTGATAGCTGAGGTCCAGCGTGGTCACGGAATAGAAGCTCATGAGGTCGATCTGCTCGATGATGCCCCCTTCAGGCACCAAAAACCTTGCGCTGGAAGCCGTGGGTAGAGTTACGCGCTCAGTTGCCCGCCCGCGCTCAGTTGACCTGGAAACAAAAGGTGATCAAGAAAACAACATGTTGTTTTATTGCATGTTCGTTTAAAACATGTGATCACCCTTTTGGCAGCTTCACTGAAAATTGGACCAACATGGGAAACCCCAAAAGGTCGGATCCTTTAGATTCGGTTTGCGCCGTGAGCTTACGTGGGGAAAACGAAGGGCACCTTAGGGGACCTCTTTCGCTTCCGGGGCGCCTTGTTGCTTCTTGGCGGGTTCTTTCTATGGGACATCTCACTTTCCAAGGTGGCTGTCTGTTTGTCAAATGTCGGTCGCGATGCCTTTCCGATTTCCCGCCGCTACGGTACAACGAGCACTGAGCCAGAAAATAAACACACCTGTTGCCCCCCCCCCCCCACCCCCCAAGAAAAAATAAGAAGCCAAATACTAGCTTCTCCAGATTTCTCCAGTGCCATGCAGATTCTAGTGTTTTTAGCTGCTTGTTGAACCTTCAGCGTTCGAGCAAGACCAAACACGACACACAGAATTCTTAGACTCCGGTGCAACCGTAGATATCTTTGCAACAAACCACTGGGCTACGTCGTGTGGGACATTGCAATGCGGCACGGGGGCATGCGCAAGGCATGTGCAAGGTACTCTTCAACGCTCCTTGGCGGGGGGTACGAACCAGGTCAGGCTATACTGCCAGCAGGGCTCAGAAGAACGCACACCGGAAGCAAACCCAATCCTTGTGGCAGTACTTTGGCAGTCCACTGACTACGGCTAGAGCATTTGCAGGCAGCATGTGTCTGAATATTTCTTTTTCACAACCTGCTAGAATTGAGCAGTTTGAAAATGGGGGGTGGGGGGGAGGGGGACTGTGCAAAGACAAAACTATCAGCAAAGGATCAACTTCCATTTGGCTTTTCGGCCCCAGGAGAAAATATAACATATTTCCAGTAGTGATGAATTCCCTCTTTAAATATATATATATATATAACTTTCAGACAACGGAGGCCGAACTTTGGGACAGCGGCCCAGAAGCCAAGTGAGTCACAATCACAACACCAGGATATCCGCAACTACTTATAGCTGGGATTGTCCCTTACTAAGCTTCATCTAGTTTTGAGCAGGTGGCTCAAGTGGTGTCCTTTGTTTCCCTCATGTGCACGAACCTGGGCTGGTGTAGGGAACAGACGGGCCTGGCCTGAATGCAAGTTCACTACTTGTTTACCTAGGTCCTCCAGTGAGAGGTTAGAATAAGGGTACCAACTTTTTTTTTTTTTTTTTTTTTTTCGGTAGACTATTTAAGTAGGGGAACCCTCCCAACCAAAAAAGAAACGGTAAAAGTTGGCACCTAGCTGGGGGACCTAGTTACACTGCCGCCATCTCTTTGCCCTGCTTTGGCTTCCATGTCTCAAAGGTGTGGCTCTTCTATTTGGTGAAGCCGGGAAAAGGGCCAGCTGGTTTTTGGTCTCAGGATAATTTGCGGCCCTGTCATTTCTCCAGGACAATGGGCGAAGGTCGGAACTTCGCCAGACGTCCGGATACCCAGCCCCCTTCTGAGCAACGCGTAGACCCCGTAGAGGATGGCGCCCTTAAAGCCGTTGCTGTTCACTGAGAGTGTGGAGGCCGAAGTGAAAGTCAGGTCCACTTTCACCAGGTAGGAATTCCCATTGCCTAGGGCATCGGAAGATGAGTGAGCCCCCCTCCTGGATTGTCCCCCCGTTTGAAAAAAAGAGTAGTTTCCGTCCTTGACTGGATAATTCGGGGAATCATAGCACTTTTTGCCGCAAAAACCTGAAGACTCCTAAGAATTACCCTATTGCAATGCTCGCGGCCTTTGACACAAAGGAAGCTTGGAAGAGGTTGTGCGGTGGAGGAAAAACGTATATTGACCGCAAGGCACCCGCATTTGTCCGCCAATCTCCTGCACAACCCGCAAGCTCCCGCAAATCAGGAAAAATGTAGTTTCGATGATGAAGGAATTCCATGTCCACTGACACATTGGGAAGTGCTGCGAGGCGTATCGATTTTGCATGGCCAATGTGTGACTGGAAACAACACAATTCCTTTGTGGTTATGCCGAAATTGCCTACCCTACCCTTCCAAAGGCAGGTACTAGACTTGCTTTACCGCAAGACCATATTTGCGCCTGGCGGCCCTAAATACTTCAAACAAATCACTTCTGTTATCCTTATTTAAGCAACTCTGATCTCCCAAAGCGGTTCTAAGAGTGGCCGAGATAGCATGGTTAGCCATATTTTGAGTGTTTAGCAAAAAGCTACTTTTAGACGCTTGCATGCCGTGATTATTCTCTGGGGGATATATAGTAGTATGCTTCATCCAACTGGCTAAACTCGTCAATGCCTACAGCTAAAACAGTCATTTGGAAAGCGCACATGACGGTTTTCCATGTATCATCACCTCATCGGCGAGCTACTAAAACTACATAGGCAGGACCCGGTGGCAAGCTGTCCACCATGTCCACTCTTTTGGAGATCTCCATCTTACGGTCGAGGGACGTACTTTGTTCATTGCCTTTGTCTTTTGATAGTCTGATTGACTAACAGATAGATAGACAAACAAATAACTAGACATAGATAGATACGATTGGTAGCTAGGTCGAAATATGACAAGATAGAGAGGCAGGGAGATTGTGAGATAGATCGATGAGGATAGATTATAGTAGGTTAGGCTAGGCTAGATTAGACTAGAGTGGATAGATAAATACCTAGATAGACGAGACTAGATTGGCTTAGATCAGATAGATAGGTTGATAGATAGAGGAGATAGACAGAGAGGTAGGTATATACTAGGTAGGGTAGATCGACCGATCAGCAGACACATAGATGGATTAGACTAGAACAGGTAGATAGACAGATTAGACTAGATTAGATTGGAACAAGATAGATAGATAGATAGATGGATGGATGGATAGATAGATACATAGATAGATAGACAGACAGATAGACAGATAGATAGATAGATAGATGGATAGAATAGATTAGATTGGATTAGATTAGTTTGGATTAGATTGGATTAGATTAGATTTGACAGACAGATAGATAGTAGGATAAATAGATGGAGAGGCAGGCAGGTGGGTAGCAAGGTGAATAAATAGATAGACGGACAGATGTACAAATGCGTAGGTGGACAGACGGATCGACAAATGAACAGATAGATAGTTGGATAAATAGATGCACACGTATATGTTTTACTTGACGAAAAAACGGTTCGTGGCTTCTATCACTTCTTCTTTGCGGAAATCTAGACATACTGTGGATGGACGAAAACCTTCACCACTTTGAAACCATGGGAAGCCATTGTTTGTTGTTATTTACAGAGGAAACATCATTCTAGACTTCCAGGAGCCTTGGTTACCAGAACTTTAAATCGTTTTGGCTTCCTTCTGTTCATAGGGACTGTTCCTGTTCAAAAAGTGCGCAGAGGGCAAGCGCCTTCACAAAAAGCTAGAGCGTGTGCCATTGAAGTGGGAGAGTTTAGCGGTTGCTTGCCTTCTCCTTCTCCTCTGGAGTGCGTTTGAGGGACACCAAACGTATACACAATTTTTGAGGTCCCAAAAGGCAACAAAGAAACCAATTGATGGAAGCTGAACAAATGGTTCCATTGAACCAACAAGTTAGGGTTGCCTCCGGGCTGTCTAAAGAGACTCCACGGACCATTCGAACTTGCCCGAAGGCTTGGCAAACTTTGAAACTTCTTCCTTGGCTGTTGTCTTACACTAGTCAAGGCCAACAGAAGCTCGGTCGAGTACCTTGTTTTCATTGCCCGGTAGTGGCCGCGGAATGCCAACCTCCTCATATCTATTGTTGAGGTATTCCCTTTTCTGTGGGGGATTCCTTTCTTCCAGGAGACTCTCCTGATTATTCCAGGGGTCAGCATGTTTGTTGGCTTAGAGGGAGATTTATATTCCAAGATTTCTACATCCACCAACCTCCGAGCGAGCCGCCGGGCAGGAGGTATACATAGCCAGCGTCGTCCACAAAGCCGGTGTTGAAGTTCTGGTACCCTGCGACAGAAATCCCCGCAGTGTCATAGCTGAGAACTTCCACCTGGCCCAGGCGCCGGGCGAGCGTGTTTTGAATCAAGAACAAGTTTGAGCGAGGTTAGAATAAGGGTACACTTCTTTCTGTAGTCTATTTTAGCAGGGAACCCTCCCCAAAAAAAGGGGTGAGAAAGGCACCTAGCTGGGGGACCTATTTGTTTTGCAACGCAGGAAAAGGAGCTCGGTTGGCTCAAAAGGAGCTGCAGCATGCCAACATGGCATGCCAATGCTGTGATCTTGAACGTTGGACAAGCACGAAATCCTAGACAATCTCGTTGCAATGACCTTGGTTGCTTTTCCCCCCCCACTATGCTCGACAGTGTGCTTTCACTTGTGCTTTCCCGTGATCGACTTTATTGCCAGTGATGTGTTTCGTGCTGCTTGATGTTGTGCTTCCGTCTCTGCTTTCTGGCGCTAAGCTTCGTGCTTTGAGAGGAAACATGGTTTCTCCTGCATTTGGTGCGTGCAAGTGTGCTTGTTGGCGCTCGGCTTTGTGGTCGGCAGATGCTTCCTTTTCCAGCGCACGATTTCCAGTGTTTCCGGCAGCGCTTTCTGATGTTCGGTGTTGAGCTCCTAGTTCTGGTCGGCCGTAAGCATGCCAAGTCGAGGTGCTTGAACTTAATACGCTCGATTTTGTGCACCCCGCTGTGTTTTTGACGCTCGGCTTTGCGGTTTGTTCTGCTTTTGCCATCTTTCACTGGTGCCCGACTCGTGCTTCCAGGAACGTCTGATGCCCAGATTAAACATATGGTGCTCGATGTGCTTCCAGCTGCGCTTTCTGAGTTGGCTTGGTGGTTGTTTCCAAGAGTCAGGTTCCGTGTTAGTTGGTGGGAGGGTATCCAGTGATTCCATTTCCCTGTCGTAGGTAACCAGCAAAGCCACCGTCTAGCAAAAAGGAAACTATTTTTAGGCAACTGGGAACCAGTGCTTCTTGGCGCTATGCTTCAAGCTGCCCAGTCTTGCGCTCACGGGCCGCGTTTCTGGTCATTCCGTCAAGGGCCTTGACCTCATGTCCTCACATGGACTTGGCCCTAGGGACGCAGAGAGCATACACATACGACTTTGGGTACAAATAGGTAGCCAGAATGGAACGCTGGTAAACGGCGGGGCTGAAACCTGCGATGGTTCAATTTTGGTCCATACCCATATCAAGTTCCGTCCTGTTGGCAGTTGGGCGAAAGAAACGAAGTGGAATGCAGCCAAAACCAATCTGAAAAGGTGCCCAATTTTGGCGCAGCCATAGTAAGATCTCGCCCACACAGGCCGCAAATCCAGGAATTTGCGAAAACAAAAAAACGGTTAAGAAAAAAAAAAAAAAACAATCCGAAAAACTCAATCTGAAATAGTCTGAACCTGGAAAGACTCAACAGAAACTCAAAAAAAACTCAAAAAAACTCAAGCAACAACTCAAGCAGGGGTCTGGGGAGGGTTCTGGGGGTGGGGGAGGGGCAAAATGCAAAAACAACCGCAGGAAAAAAAAACTAAAAAACTAAAAAAAAACTCAAAAAAACTCAAGTAATAACTCAAGCAGGGGTCTGGGGAGGGTTCTGGGGGTGGGTGAGGGGCAAAATGCAAAAACAACCGCAGAAAACACAAAAACAAAAACTAAAAAAAACTCAAGTAATAACTCAAGCAGGGGTCTGGGGAGGGTTCTGGGGGTGGGGGAGGGGCAAAATGCAAAAACAACCGCAGAGAACACAACAAAAACTCAAGAAAAACAAAACAAACTCAAAACAGACTCAAACAAAACTCAAAACAGACTCAAAAAAAACTCAAAAAAGAAACTCAAATCTCCTGATGTGTTGTTTGTTGTGTTTTGTTTGAGTCTCCTGCTGTGTTTTTCTTGTGTTTTTGTTGAGTCTCCTGCTGTGTATTTTTTTGTTGAGTCTGTGTGTTCAGTTGAGTTTCTTGGCTGAGTTTTTTCTGAGTTGTTTTTTGAGTTTTTTTTGTTCCGCTAAAACCTCTCCTGTCTGAGCCCGTCTGGTCATAAGCCTATGATTCTTGTTGGGATTCGATTGTTGGGCGGAGGCACTTTTGCCTTGTCCAGCTTCAGAAGGAACACGCAGTTCAGTTCAAGCCCTTGAGCCGTTTGTTTTTGCAGCCCCCCCCCATCCGCGCCAAAATGCAAACAAAAGCAAGAATTTGCAAACACACGAAGCAATTTGTCCAAAGGACCTGGCCAACAACAACAACAACAACAACAACAACAACAACAACAACAACAACAACAACAACAACAACAACAACAACAACAACAACAACAACAACAACAGCAGCAGCAGCAGCAGCAGCAGCAACAACAACAACAACAACAACTACAACAACAACAACAACAACACCAACACCAACAACACCAACAACACCAACAACAACACCAACAACAACACCAACAACACCAACACCACCAACACCAACACCAACACCAACACCAACACCAACACCAACAACAACACCAACACCAACACCAACACCGACACCACCGACACCAACGACAACGACACCAACGACACCAACGACACCAACGACACCAACGACACCAACGACACCAACGACACCACCGACACCAACGACACCAACGACACCAACGACACCACCGACACCACCGACACCACCGACACCACCGACACCACCGACACCACCGACACCACCGACACCACCGACACCACCGACACCACCGACACCACCGACACCACCGACACCACCGACACCACCGACACCACCGACACCACCGACACCACCGACACCACCGACACCACCGACACCACCGACACCACCGACACCACCGACACCACCGACACCACCGACACCACCGACACCACCGACACCACCGACACCACCGACACCACCGACACCACCACCGACACCACCGACACCACCGACACCACCGACACCACCGACACCACCGACACCACCGACACCACCGACACCACCGACACCACCGACACCACCGACACCACCGACACCACCGACACCACCGACACCACCGACACCACCGACACCACACCACACCACCACCGACACCACCGACACCACCGACACCACCGACACCACCGACACCACCGACACCACCGACACCACCGACACCACCGACACCACCGACACCACCGACACCACCGACACCACCGACACCACCGACACCACCGACACCACCGACACCACCGACACCACCGACACCACCGACACCACCGACACCACCGACACCACCAACACCACCAACACCACCAACACCACCAACACCACCAACACCACCAACACCACCAACAACACCAACAACACCAACAACACCAACACCACCAACACCACCAACACCAACACCAACACCAACACCAACACCAACACCAACAACAACAACAGGAACTGCAGTTGCTTTCTCATTGCTCAAGTGGTGAGGGTGTGGGTACCCCCCCATACATGCAACAACGAAGCGCTTCAAAACAGATTGGGCCAACCCCAAACACCTCCTTCGGGGTACATGACATTAACTCTGGATCAGGGCTTGCCTTTGGACAAGTCGACGGACCTACTCTTGATGCAGACCCATGCGAAACAACGGCAGGTGCTTTTTTTGTCTTTAATTCTAAAACGGACAACTCCTGCCAACAAATGATAAACAGGGCGCTGGGTGTCTGGGGAGCAAGCCCCCACCCTGCGGGGCCTGAGTGAAGGTCGCCCCGTCGACTCGAAAGATCTTATTATGACTGCTGGTGGGCACCTGAGCTGGGTGAGCCGCTGTGGTGACGGACGGTCCCTCCAAATTGGAGTTGAGGTTGTCTGGCAGTAGAATTGTGCAAAAGGATGCAAAAGGAATTTCCTTCTCAGGCCCCGCGTCGCGTACGCTTCAATTCTTTAGCGGGGTTGCACCAAAACCCAAGGCAGAGTAAGCGTGGTCTTTTTCAAAAATGCGGTTTCCCTCTTGGCTTCCCACTCCAAAGGTCCACTCCAGCTGTCTATCGGAATTGAAGCTGTACGTCCACTGTCACACATACGGGTTCATGCATTTGGCCCCGGGGGGGGGGGAGGGAAGCGTTCGTAGCGCGCTTGACTTCGAGCTGTATTTTCTGCCAGTGGCAGGTCGCGTTTACCGCAAGCCTCGCGCAGCAGGTTCGCGCGTTGTTGTTGGTGTAGGCGTGGCGCGCGCAGGTCCTCTTTCTTTCGACACAAGCGAAGCTCAAAGGGTTTATCGTTTTGTTTGCCCTGTCATCGATTTTCCTGAAGAGGCACAGGCTCAACGAGTTTAGTCGCCTAATCACGAACCAAAGAAAACTGGAACACAGCTGCTATCCCTCCGCAGCCCGAAGGGCTGAGGATGAAGTGTGAAGTCACTGAATGATCCGATTGGGCGTGTTTGCGAGGCATGCCACACGCAACATACGCAACTTTAGCGCCTGTGGCTGCACAGGGGGGCAACATAGCAACCATGGGGCAAGATGTGCGGTCCGTATTGCCCCTTGACTTTTCCAGCATCAGGAATCAAGGGAAGATCAAGTTACACCACAATCAGGAACACAAAAGTATCTGTCGGGAGCAGCAGTTTCCTCGATTTGCTTAAAGCCCCCTGGAAGAAATAACCATACTATTTGCAATAATGATAGATTCTCAGTAAACCAACAGGGGAAAATCAAGCATGTTCTTTTGCAAATGGAGGCAATCAACACACAGCATCTGTCGGGAGCAGCTTCGAACGCCATGAAGTCTTGCCCTTCCGCTGGCTGGCAGAAAAGGGGGGCAATTCTGCGATCTGCCTTACCCCAACTGAACTCAAGTTGAAGAAACCAATGGAACACGGCTCTTGGGCCCCCTAGAAAGGATCAAGGAAGCGTTGGCCGAATCCTGGCTCCCAGTCTTGCGTGTGTCACCGGTCGCCAAGGCGCGAGGTAGACCCAGTCTCCCACGGCAAACATGTTCCTTGAGCGCAAGTGGAAACCACTGGACAGGCTTGAAAGGGCAGAGTCACGATCAAAGCCTAGCACAAAGGGGCCAACCAATTAAAGATTTCAAGGGCAGATATCCGCACCTAGTTGTGGCCGGAGTTCCTTAGTTAGGTTGGTAACCCCGGAGAAAAAACCTGCTTACCCGCCAATGTTGCGAGCTTTTTGGACTTCCTTTGTGCTCCCATTGTTTCCCGCGAAAAGCGGACCACAACCACCGTGACCTTTGCGGGCTATTTAAATGTTGGTCAAAAATAGGTACCCAAAATGGGTTGCCCTGGCAAATGGAAACAAAGACCAAAACCTGCGGTCCCCTGGTTTGGTGGGGTAATTTTGACCCATACCCATTTAGAAACTGCATGCACTCTTTACCAACGGGTACGGGTCGCCCACTCAAAAGCAGCAAGCCCGAGTCACAGTGAGGGTACGTCGGCAATGATAACTCCGTGGATGTCTTACCTTGAGGTTCCTGGACCCTGAAAAAAACAGACCTTTGGCAGACTTCCCTTTTTCAACCAAGGACGAAATTAAGAAGGACCCTGCTTTTGCGGGTCCTTGGAAGAAGGTCAGCTGTGTGGTTTCGGGGCGTAGCTACAAGACAAAGCAGGGGCTTTTGGGGACCCAACGCCAACACTGCACAACTGAGACTTTGAAGCAACTTTTTCGGAGAACAGAAGGGGACATCCAGAACTGAGAGAGCCTCGCTGACCAACCAGACAATTGCATTGTCATGAAGCAGATCTTGGTGACTATTGCCGCGAAACACTTTAACTTTTAGCCCAGTGGGAAAGTACACATTTCACCAAACAAGCAAACAGCAAGCAAGGCAAACAAAGTAATGCTTTGTTTGATTCGCCCTCTGCCTGCCGCTGGACAAATGCAACATGACGTCTTATTGTTCCAAAGGTTGGCGTCGCCTTTCCTTGTTCGAAATTTTTCTGTAGGCTTTCCGTCTCGGTCCTAAAAAACTACTACTTAAAAAAACCGGAGTTGGGAGGGGCACAGTAGCTTTTATACAAGAGAGACGATGCCATGCGGCAACCCTTGCGGTTCAAACAGAGGGGTCAAGAAAACGAGCAATGCCTGCAACAAGAATCAAAGGTTGACCGCTCAACTTCCAAAAGTGCAGAATCATGCCATGTTGCCTGTCCGATGACCGACGCGCCTATCACGGGAAATCGCGTCCAAAGGCAAAGCGACCATTGCCAATCCGTGGGGCTACGCCAGCCTGCCATTCGTTCTTCCGACCAATGGCATGCAAACCGCCCTGCTCTTTGCACCAAAACAAACAACGCAAAGAAGAGAGGCTCTCCCTTGCACCCGGGAACGCGTCCGATCCTTTAACATGCACTTTCGTGCGCCGTCCCCCGTCAGCCGTGCAGTTCAGCCCCGGCGCTGGAAGCCCTGGTTCCACTGAGAGTCATCATAGTAGACCAAGGCCCAGCTGAACTGAGCGTGGCAAAAATGAACCAAGGCCCAGCTGAAGTGAGCGTGGAAAAAATGACACCGCCTGAAAGCAGAGTGCACAACTCTTCTTTAGCATCCGGGAATTGCGCCATCCGATGTCACCCATCTGCCGGGCAATGAGCAGAGGATGTTATGCTTCCAATACGGGAATAGTACCCCCACAAAACAAAGCACCCGAAACATATTTCCAGCCCCCCCCCCGGGCTGCCTTCCAGTTATGTCCTGCGCTTTCTGATTTCCTCACTTGCCCAAGGGACATGGAAACAACAGATTAAGATTTTGTGCATTGCCGCCTTTCTGTGCAGGCAACCCATTGAGCTGGAAGGCGGGACGTTGTTTGGCTCGCCCACTGGCCCTGTCCAGCAGAATCTCAGGGCATCCCCGCCCCACAAATAAAGCGTGTATAGATTTCAGCAAGGAAGTCAAGGGATCCGCTGTGATCTGACTCTTTAGGAGCTCTCATATGGGTCCCAAAAGGGGCATAGCGGTACTGACAACAATGACGCATAAGCACACTGACAAGAATGACACGGCCATACTGGGCTGCGGAGGTAAGAGACTTCTTCCTTTTCTGGCGTGGCTCACGTTAGAACCAACCAACTCGTACGAACGCTCCCTTAAAGGAAACCCATGCAAACCCAAAGCAAATCAATCACTAACCCCGAATCGTACGCCATCCAGGCACCAAAGGGAGGAAACTAAAAGGTCAAAAGCTATTCGCTTTGGGCAAGTGAGTTCACTTGTGAGTAGTGGGAAGCAAACAAACTCCCCCAAACCAGTCAAACAGGTCTCACTTCCCAAGTTGACTGGCCAAACAAAGTTTGAACTTTGTATTCACACTAAAATGGTCTTTCCAAAAAGTTTAAAGTCCACCAACTCAGGAAGTGAGAGGTGGACTTGCGGAACACAGCCAAATCTACGGCTTTCTATGACGGCTCCCCCCGACCCCTCAACCGGAAGAAGTGGCTTCGTTGTGCTGGCACTGCACGCCTCGCGGAGACAGGCGATGTAATGGCTCAAAGGGGTCCCTCGCACAGAGTTGCAAATTTATGCTAAACACCCAAGGGACACAAATTTCTGTCACCAATGAAGGTTCAGGTGGGTTCAAAGACTGAAACAAAGGAAGTTTAGAAAGAAACTTCCGTGTTACAGTAACTACTTGAAAGTCAGCTCGCACGAGAACATATGCGTGTGGTGGGATCTGAAAAGTGCGTGGCCCTGCGCCGGGGCCATTGGCGCGGCAGCGTGGCTTCGCCAGGGTTGAATTCTGGGGCAGGTGCAGCACTCTCCTTAGGTCAGGTGCAGATTTCGTGGCAGGCGCAGCACTTTCGCAAGGTTAGGTGCGGATAGAGTGGGAGAGAGAGAGATAGCTTTTCCCAAATAGATAGATAGATTGACGGATGGATACATAGACGGATAGATAGGCGTAGATAGATAGGATAGATGATGACAAAGAGATGGATAGCTTTTAGCTTATATATAAAGATAAATAGAAATAGATAACGATAGGCATATAGAAAGATAGGTAAACAGATAGGTAGATAGATAAATAAGTAGTTGAGTAAATCGAAATAATGAGGAAGCAAGAAATCAAAAGAATAATAAATAACTAAGCAGACAAACAAATAACTAAAGAACAAAATACCTAAATAAATAACAAAGAAATAAAGCAAGAAGGGAAGACAGAAAGGAAGAAAGAAAGAGCAAACGAAAGAAAGAAAGGACAACATAAACACTGAAATGAATAAACAAAACAAACAAATAAACAAAGAAGGAAAGGACAGGAAGGGAACGGAAGGAGAGGAAAGAGAGGAGAAGGAAGGAAAATGAGAAAGAAAGAAAGAAAAAACCAGACAGAAGAAACACAAAGACAGAAACAATCAAGCATGAAAGGTGCAAAGAAAAGAAATAATGCAAAGAAAGACTGAGAGAAGAAGATACATATATTCAAGAAAAGAGAAAGACACAGAAAATTATACTCAGTTGCTTTCTGCTCCCCTGCCAGTGGTTCAATACGGAAAACCCATTAGTTGGCAAAAAATACTAAATTCCTCACATCCCTTGGCAACATGCACCAAAGTATATTTTGTTTTTCCCTCATTGAAACTTCTACCTAGCGGCTTCGCCGGGCCGCTTCGACAGGGTTTACTGGTTTTCGTTTCCAAAAATTGCTCCGCATGTTTCCGCCTGCACCTCGCACCTGCCCAATGGTCGCAAGGGGGCGTTATGGTCCCCCAGCAGGACTTGTGCCCAGGTGAAAGGGGACCCTGCTCTTCCAACCACAAAGCTGTTTGGCGACCTCCATTCTACTTCTTGCTTTTCGGTCCAACACACGGGATGGGGGTGAACAACAGGTGTCCTCAAGGTAAAATGTGAATCGCTTGAACCTTTCTTGCAAATGAAACAAGGGGAGCAACCCTAAGGCCTAAGCCCAGCCAAGGTTCGGAAACATTTCTGATCAGTTCGCATTGAAAGGCTTCGGTCGGAGGGTCTTTGGGTGTGGGGTGCTGGAATTGACAGCCAAGAAGGGCACGCCCTTTTGTCAAGGACTCAACCCCCCTCTCCCTCTCCCCAACCCCCCCCCCAAATGTGGCTACAACAGTGACAGGAGGATAGTCGAAGGCTAGGTTGAAACCTGCTGGGAGTTTGGAAGGTTTTGCTGGAGCCCTCCGACCGAGTAGCTAGACCCGCTAGACCCGACTCGCCCGCTCACGCCTAGCACCGTGAAGGTTGAGAGCAAAGGGAATTTCACCTCGTCTGCAGCTCCGACCTGCGGGGGTCGACATCAGCCGCTTCTTCCATTTGGCCTTTGGGCCCCGGGAAAAAATACTTCCAGTAGTGATGAATTCCTTTGAAAACTAACAAGGGGAGATAAAAAAATAGTCGTTTCAGCAAATGGAGGGTTTGATAGGCAGGGAAGTGGAAGAACGGTGTTCCCGCACTCAGGGGGTTCCTTCAGTCCAAACCCCCACTTCGTTACCACCAAGCGATTCTCAAGCATTGGCGGCGCAAAACGAATGTATGCATTCAGCCATGCAGCGGGTCTCTGAAGGTTGCTACGGCCCGAATATAGAATAACGTCCAGGTGTCCGACTCTGCCTGAAAATTGAATTTCTGGAACATGAAGCGCATTTACCGGCAGGGAGAAGCTAGTGGGCTCGGCATCGGGCACTGTTGTGGTAAATAACAACTTTTCTGTGATGTCAAAGCGGGCCGTCCCGTATGAGTACTTTGTTCACCCCCTTGGCTCCACAGAAGCTAGGTTTAAACGCCAATTTCCCACACTATCTTGGCTGATGTGGAAGGGGGGCAAACAAATATTTTCTAGCAGTTAAGTAGTAGGGAACCTCCCGCTAAACCACAATAAGCAAAGATGCAAAATGTTTCCCAACAACAACCATGCTATGAGGCTATGCCCCGCTCATCTTGATTCATGGGGGCCTGTTTTGCAGTCACGGCCAAAGCCGTCAGGCGCCGATTGGCTTTGGATCTTTGACGGCTTGGGGGGCCATGTCTTATCGTTGTTCTTCTCCTTTATTGTTCTTCTTGTTTTTGGGCAAAGCCAAAAAACAACAGGAACACTTTTTATCATCAGGTTCTGTGACTTCGTTGGGGACCCTCAGGTGGAGGGTCACTGAAGTGGAAATTCATGCCCAACGTCAGAAACCTGCATGGCCGCCTGCCCGAAGGACCTGGTGAGCTTACTGTAATTAATGCAAAGAAATGAAGCAGCAGTCTCCCTGGAGGTCCGTCTTCCTTGAAGTCCATCTGGCCCCCTTAGCTTCAGGGGGGGGGTCCGGGACCCAATTCCAGTCATCTAGTCTTCCCCTGGCAGGGGGACATGGGTTGCCATAGATGGAGATCTCCAGGGGTCTCAATCCCCCAAAAAGGGAACCTTCCGTCGAAAGTGAGACGCTGGCGTTCGGCTGAGTTGTGGCCATACCGCCAACAAACGCGAGCAGCCAAAAAAACGAAACACTGAAAACAACAAAAAATACCGACAAACAAATGGACAGACAAACCAAAACTAGCGGAGACACTCTTCTTAAATTCAGGGCAGCGAAAACACAGATGTCAAACCGTGGCCAGCATAGGAAGTCGGATCCCGAAGTTCCCGAGAAACCGGCCAAAAAGAAGCCAAGCGCCTCCGCGGAAAACACTGAATCGTAGTCCTGCTCCTTGAGAGCCTCGGATCGCTCGCTCATATTTTGAGTTTCGGGTAGCCGAATCCGGCGGACCAGCTTTTCAAAAAAAAAATGGGGGCGATTTTTACACTTTGCCCCCGTAGAAAGCCAGTTCCTTGAAACCAAGACATCAATCAGCCAAGAGAGCGCTGGATGGTGCCGGGATTTTTTTTGTCTGGCCTGGAACCCACCACGCCCTCTTAGGAAACTCCCCCTTCTGTTCTCCCAAGTGACCCGAATTGCAGAAAAAGGGATTCATTGCGGAGGCTGATTCCACCGAGGGGAACGCTGAACAACTATTGGCTTTGCACATGGGGGAACAGAACTGGCCAAGTAAAATGATTGCTGCCACGGGTTAACCTGAACCCAACACGCTGACAACAACTAACTAAATCTGAACCCCTGATTCGGCTCCACATCGAGGGCAGCCAAAAGACCTGTTCCGGTCCAAGGAGTGGAGAAAACCAGAGACGTCAAACCCCCCAAAACCGACCATGCTTCCCCCAAATCAGACGCATTGTTCATGGCTTTACAGCCTTGTGAGTACTGGAAGGGGGCAGGCCTGGGATGATGTAGGGTTCCCTCACAGAAATTTGTCCTTACATCCTTGTCCTGTGTCTGTTGATGAATTCAAGTACTCTTTCAGTGTGCTTTTAATATCCTGCAGGGGTGGATCCACAAGAGCTGCCCCAAAAAACTTACCATGCATTTGGGCCCAAAAGGTGATGTTAAAACCACTACGAAAAAGGGAAACAGGAAAAGGGAAACTACCTTTCTTTTTGGTCCCGCCCGCCATTCTTGACACAAACCCGTAAAGCGACCTCAGTTCCTTCCAGAAAAAAGAAAAAAGCAAACAATTGGGAAACCCACTATGTAGGGACCTCAGTTCCTCCAGAGGGAAACAAATTGGCAAAAAAAAACTTGCTGGGAGCGGCTTGGTTCCATTTTTAGCCAGCAAACGAAAAAAAAACACTTGCCGCTGGTCTTGGTTCCTTCGGCGAGTCTGAGGGCAGGGCCCAGGACACTTCGTAGCCGGTGGTGGAGCCCCCTCAGAGAGTTGGCTCCAGTTCCGCGCGGTGAAAGGGGCCGCTGCCGCTTTTCCCGTGGGCATCCCTTCAAAACAATCCAAGAAGCTCTTCGAAAGCCGCCCGCGTTTCTGGATTTGGGTGCGCAACACCGTGAAACAAGCGCGGCAAGCATGGCGAACGGCTCCAAGCGCACTGGCAAGCATCAGGCCACAGAACACACGGCAATCTGGATGCATAGAGTCCGGTACCTTCATGAGAGCCCGCCGAAAGTGCAGGTGTGAGGCTTTCTCAGTGGCAAACGCAAAGCGCAATGTCCGCCGCCCCCCCAACTTCAGGCAAGAGTCCCTCCACCACAGACAGCGCCCTTGGCACACGCGGCCCAATTGGGGTGAGCAAGGCTATGGTGTTCGATTTTCAGGGGCAAATGGTGGATGAGTTCGAATTCTGCGGTAGCCAACCTGAAACGAGGCAAAGCCTTCAAAGGACGCACGCCAACCACGTGGGCTTCGGCCTCAAGGGCTCAAGGCCTGTTTGGAAAAGCAGCTGTGAAGGAGATAACAAACACTCAGTTGCCCAAAGGACCTGGGACTAAAAAAATTAACCTTTTGGGGCCATGACTAAAAATGGGAACCCAAAATTGGAAAACCAAAAGGTCAAACAGGTCGGCTTTGAACAACTGAGAAAAGGTTCGGAGTAGCATGACGCAAGCCAAGGGACAAGTCAAGCTGACCGGAGAAACTTAACAGGACGTCAGGACGGATTTGCGAACACAAGTGAAGGCTGCTGATTGCAAGCTCATTTTCCAGACGGGGGTGTTTTTCTTTGGTTGAGGGTACCATGTGGTGGTTAAAGGGAAGCCAAACGAAAACTCACCATTTTGGGGGTTATCCTCAAGGACACACACAAACAAGCACGTAGTTCGCGAATTCGGAGAAAGGAATTCACCAAAAAAATCCTTGAGTTTCCGCCCGATTCTTGTTTCGGGTCCAACTCTTTCGACTTGCTTGAAGGGAGCCTTTGCTCCAAACTGTCAATCTCTTGCGTGCACATGGATCCATCGAACATCTTCATGCCAGGGGTTTGTCTCAAAATCGCAGGTTTTAGTGCATGCTTCCACTTACCAGGGTTCCATTCTGGGTACCTTTTTTTGACCCACAGCTATATCTTGTTTCAAAGGGCACTGAGCTCACCTCTCCGAAGCTTCATGAACTTGGCCGGACACTGCTCGCAGCTGCTTTCAAGGGAAAGCAGGAATCCCTGATTTTCACCTGAAAAGAAAAAACACATCACACCAAAAAAGTGAGGAGTTAAAAAAACAACGGAACATATTAGAAACCCATGGTTTCAACCCAAAGGCACATCACCCGGAACTCGGCCACTCACGAAAAGACAGTGTTTTCACCATGTTCGCTGGGTCGCAGCTGATCGCCCACTGTGGCGGCAATACGCTCGATCTTCGTGGAGCCGGAGAGCATCGTGCCACTAGCCAGGAGGCTGCCTTGCGGACTGAACTTCCATTTAGTTAAGGCCCCAGGAAAAGGTAAAAATGTCTCCAGTAGTGATGGATTCCTTTTGCAACCAACAAGGGACAATACCTCATATCCATTTCAGCCAATGGCCCAGTTGCCCAAAGGACCTGGGACTAACAGGTGATCACCTTTTGGGGCCATGACTAAGAATGGGCACCCAAAACCGGAAAACCAAAAAGGTCAGATCCGGTCGATTCGCTTTGGGCAACTGAGATGGAGGTGAAGCTGCGCCCAGCGCGAGCAAGATCATGCCGCGCGGGGGACCCGCGAGAAAGCGGCCAGGGCAACTTCAGCGCGTGCGTTTTGGTCGCAGAGGCAGGGCGCTTTTGTTGAAATGCATCCGGGGGTTTCTAGAATTTCCGGCTCTTGCACGATATAAAGGGCAAGAGGATGCAAGAGGCAAGAAGGGGGAGAGAAGGTATCACCCTCAAACGCGGAACTTTGGCTGTTTTCAGCAAGGACCCCACATGACGGCTGTTCTCAAATGCGACGTGCCATTCGGGTTTGTCTCAAAATAGGGAAGCTCCCAAAGAGTGAGTGGTTTTTACTCCCCCCCCCAAAAAAAAAAAAAAAAAAACACAAAGAACCTAAAAGGGGTAGGGGTAATTCATCAGCCAACACAAAAAATGGGAGATACCACTTGGCGGGAGGTGTGTCAGGGCATCCGAAACATCACAATGACCATGGGGTTGACCCTTTGACTTGCTTGACGTTGGAAGGGGAGCAAAAAACAACTTTTAGCAGTTAAGTGGGGATTTCCCACTAAACCATAATAAGCAATCATGTAAAATGTTTCCCAACAACAACCATGTTGACGTGACGTTGGCACGTTGAAAGAAGCGCCATGGCGTGGTGGCATTGTCTTTGTGCTTGGAGCCCCGCAGTAAAGTCCAAAGTGAACAAGGTTCCGAAGAAAAACCAAACAAATGAACCGGCAGTTCCATTGGCCTTCAACTGCAAGAGTTTTTTGGGTACCGTCCCTTTTTGATTGAACATTAAACCAAAAGGACAACCACTTCTGACCCGGGGTTCCCTAACAAAAAACACCCAAGTACCTCCAACCGAACCGGTTCTTCCTGCCCGAACCCTTCGCCACCGCCTGGCATCACAAAGGCTTGCTCTGTCGGAAACCGTTTGGTGTTGGCATAAGTGTCCTGGCAAGTCATATGCCAACATCGTAGGGACGCCACGAGCGGCGTGGTAGGGGGGCTTCACCTGCCTTGCCGAGCCTCATGTAGATTCAACTTCCTTCCTTGAATTTTGGAGTAAGCAATACTATGCGATTTCGAGGTGAGCAGGTACAGTCCCATTTCTGAGAATAACGCGGCACAGGTGCAAATTCTGCTATTCCAAAACCTGATGTTCTACCTCCAGGTAGGTGAGATCGTACACCAGGCAGGACTATCCCAAGTACTCGCATACAAATCAACCCCCTTTCCAAGAATTGTGGAAGCTGACAGTAGGCTGACAAATGGTTCCATGCTCAAAACGAAAAGAGTAGCCTGCCAGCTACAGAAGGCAGCTGTTTAGAGCCCAACTCGAACATCAGGTTCGGAGAAAACCGATGTGCATTGATGCAAGCACGCCCTCTCTGATTTTCTGGCCTGGGTCTTATTCCACGAACGTATCCGACAGTACCAGCTGCTCCCACAGCCCAACCTCTGTTCTTGTAGCCCCGGCACGAGCTGAAGCTAGGCAAAACTGCAACAAACCAAAGAACATGCGGAGACCAGCAAAGAGCAGTGGCAGGACATCGTAGCAAAGTCCAAAACAAGAAGCCACCATATTAGCACATGTCTGCAGCAAAAGTGAACGTTTGTCCATGCCGAGTGGTCTTTGTTGCTTTCATCTAAATTCAGTGTGCTTTGCCAAGGCATGTGCTCTTTGGCTTTTCGACACGGAAGTCATGCATCTCAACATTGAATTTGGGACTCGGACTTGTTATCGCTTTTGGGTATGAATTAGCGCCTTCCAGATTGAACCCCCCCTTGCGACTTCTTGGACCTCGACTAGAGTGAAAACCACGGATCGGTTTGAGCCTGCCAAAGGTTCAAGGGGTGTCTTAAAAATTCGTGGCCCAGTGGGCTGCCCGTTTTCAGATCCCCTGCTTTGTGGGTTAAGCGGGAGCTACCACTGAACTAACTAAAAACCTAAATTGCTGAGGGGATGGCTGGGAGCCACCGAGTTAAATGGGTGGCCTTCTGAGTTCCAACAAAAAAAGTCGACCCTTGTGAGAAACTCCTACGTCTCGACAGGCAGCTGAAGGATGAGCTGTCACAAACTGGGTTCCCTATGAAAGGATCATTGGGCAAGGTCGCCAACCTCAGCTACTGATCTGCTCAATCGACCGGGCAATGCATTTGTTAGCCTTGTCCAAACGAAGAAGAAACCAACCAAAAGTGTAAAGTGCGCAACCTGCAATCACTATAAAACCTCCGAAACAAGAATTCCTCGCAAAGGGGGAGTTTCTGAGCTTGCCCAGAAATGCATGCCTGCCCCAAATGCCTTTTTGGTACTTTGACTGCATGCGGACCTGGGCCGGCATGCAAGCGACACTCCTCTGATTTCTTCCCAGGCAAGGATTTGACCGCCGCTGTGCACCTACCCCAAAATGGTACCATCGGTTTTGACCCACAGCCATATGGAAGTGTACATTCAGCCTTTGACTGTCGTTAAGTGGGGCCTCTTGGTGGGGCATTTCTTCCCAATGGACCAAGGCCAGGCTCTGAACTGGCGGAAGCGACGACTCTGTCCTGCACCGACCAGAAGGCGACGCCACCCACTTTCAGCGACTGGCGAGGCGATTGCTTGAGGCGCTTGGCCCAGGAAACGAGAGGTACTGTGGATGGACGAAATCATCATTCTAGGGTTTCTTGGGTGGTGCAGGATTTCGTCCATCCACAGTATGTGGGTACACACAAGTAGGGGACCCACCAAAAGGGTGGTTTGCCTTTAATCCTGCTAGTAGGAGAACATGGGAAATGTGCGAGTTCCCTTGCTTGACGGAAATTTGGTCAGATCCCCCATTAGACTACATACTACCTGTCATTGTGACCAAACCTCAATTGGATGCACTGGAAAACTCCTCTCATTTTGCTCGCGGGGAGGAAGGGAGGTGTTAGAGGCCCACACAAGTCACAAATTGTCACCCGAAACAAGAAAGAATGCTTGCCCTCATATGCATGATGTGAGTTCTTGCTCGGGCTCATGAAGCATCTTGAGCCTCCCATCACTGAAGGCTGAACACGTGACTCATCGCTAGGCTCATCGCTAGGTGAATGAAGCGAGGGGCCATGGTTTATGGTTCTCTTTCTAATTCTCTTCTCTATATCCTGACTTTTGGATTTTAAATGAAATTATGAAAGAGAACCAGACAGTAAAATAAAGATTCAGAAACTTGAGGAAGATAAAGATAGAAAGATGAAAGGGATGGATTCTTCAGAACCATTCATTCCTTACAAATTCATTCATCGTTCTCTTTCTCTTTCTCTTTCTCTTTTACTTTAGGTTGTTTCCTTTATGAATCCTAGCTTTCAAGGACTTACAATCAACATTAAAAACTGTAAAATAAGCAAAAGAAAATATTAAACAATAAGATAAGAAAGTAAATGAAAAGAGATGGACATATTATAATGTGTTTGACCCGCATAAACTGGGTCCAATTAGAACATCCCAACAATAAGGTAATAAGCTGGAACCAGTTTACTACAGCCTGTTTCGGGTCGCCATAGGACGTAGAACAAAATAACTACACGCATGCTTTGCCCCTTTTTCGTGGACCATGTTCGGACCATGACCGGGACCTCGCTTGACAAACACATCGGTCTCCCCAGGCGTCAAGACTTGGTTCACACCTGGGTTCCGGGGGGAAACAAGCACGCCAGGTGACCCAATTTGGGCATGCCAACGGCCAAAGAAACATGATTTCGAATGAAATCCACCCAAAACCCCGCAGGGGCAAGCAGCAAACAACAATCTAGCAAATTCAGCTTGCTGCCTCGAACAGGCGCAAAACAGGAGGGGGTGTAAGCAGAAACTGGCCCATATTCTCGCCAAACCCCGCATTCTTCGTCCCAAAGCCAACTGCCCTGCTCCTGGCAGTTGAAAGGGGGAAAAGGGTTCCACTGAACCTGGTATGAACCTAGTCCTGGGGTCCAATTTGTTTGACACACCCGGAAAGCCAGCCACGAGCCGGCTGCACCCAGGCTACTCCGGTCGTGCCACTTCCTGGCAACAGGCTTCCAATCATAGGATCCAACCCTCTGCTCAGCTAGAAGCTTGGGGGATATCAACGGGCACCCATGGCACCCCTGTTTGGCGGATTTTGCAGGGAAACCCCTGGCAAATGGAATAGAAACAATGTAAACCAGTGAAACCCATCTATCTTCAGCCAAACTCACCTAACAAGGGCACATATGAAACCGGGTGGAATCCACGATGCTCTCCGTTTACGGGAGGTCCATGACTTTGCACCGAAAGCGACGGCTGGAGTTCGCGACAAACGCGAGTCGAGCCCTGCCTTCAGTAACGGTCCACGTCCTGGGTGGTTTTGTTGCTTGCTGCGAGCAGGGAATGAAGATGCAACCCGAATCGAGAAGACCCCCCCCCCCATACTGTGGATGGACGAAATCCTGCACCACTTTGAAATCATGGGAAACGATTGTTCATTGCGATTAACAGGGAAAACATAATTCCAGGGTTTCTTAGGTGGTGCCTAAACGGATTTCGTCCATACACAGTATGGTTCTCAAGATCTCCTTCCCAGCGCATTCCCAAAGCTACCAATCGGGTTTCGGCCAACATTTCCTCTAGGGGAATTGGGGGCGATTGCTCAGTGAAAACCCTGATAGAGTCACATGTTCTTCCTTTGCGTTGCAGCGCTCGCCAAAAATGAGCAGAAACAAACATAGTCAGAAGCGGGCATGCGTCAGAACTGGAACCTATGTCGAATTGGAGCTGAGTCCAAACAAAACCTACACCGATGCAAAGCCAGCCCGCATCCGACCCTGAACCAATTTCAATCTCATTCTAGCGAAGATGATGTTCATACTGTCATACATGCAGCTAGGCCCCTTGCCCCTCGTAAACCCTGGCCTCTTCCCTAAAATGTGGACATGTTTTTCAGGCATGGGTTGGAGGCTCATACTTGCATGCCACCCATACAAGCTTGCAGCCGCCTGGAAGTAAACGGCTACCCTTTTGGAAGCTGCGCAGAGATCAACATTGCGACATCAAAGCTCAAAAGGTCGGGTTCGAGCAGATGGGGTCCCATGTGCATGATGAGTCCTGGGCAGTGGGCAATGGAATCCACTTCTGTGATACAACAGAAAGGGCCTAACCCCAGCGACTATTTTGTTCATATAAAAGGGGGATTCCCAAAAGCATCGCAGAAGTGGTTGGAGAAACCAATTCCGAGTGATCCCACAACCCTGGCCCCGGGTGAAACCAAGCATTCGCCATGGAACGGCCCAATGTCGGTGTCCGTTTTTCCCCCCCGTTCTCCCCGTTCTCCTGGGACCTGGGCCGGGTGTTCGCCTCCATATTTCCCGAACCGAGGAGGTGGACCCCTTTCCTATACAGAAGGGTACGGGCCCCGATTTTCTGGGGCTTTATCTCGGAAAACTCTCCGCCGTTGCTCGTCTTCCCCATAAATGGGAAAATGGGTTGCCAAAAATTGAGTTCTCCAATTCCATTCTTTAGGGGTCCCGATTCGGACCTTCTGCGCCGCGCGGCATATTGTCCCCGACCTTCACCGGAATGCTCCAGCTTTCAGTGTTGCAGCAGGTGTCGGTGCCCAACACATTCCCTCGGCCAGGGGGAGGAAAGGAGTGCCTTTTGGCACTAGATTCAAGGGGCTGGCAAACTCCCTTCGAGGGTGTTGTCAAAGTGAGCTGGGGTTGTTTCCCCTACGTCAACAACAGCAAGCATGTGCCGAACATCGAGCCCCGTGAAAGTGCACAGTGCTTGGTGTGCCAATCTTGGCGCTCGAGTATGGACCTGGTGCCCCCGGTAAAGGCACGCATCCGCACCCCCGTTTGCCCAACATTCTCCTAACATTCTGGTTGCAGAGCTGTTCAGAGGATTAGCTTAGTCAGTGGGTGTCTCTTGTGCTCAAGGGTGTCCATGTCGTGTCCCCTTTCAACAACACCGAAACTATCTAGTATCTATCACGATGTACGTCTAAACAACAACATCTCCAAATGAGGCAAAATATGATCAAATCCAATCCACTGAGTTTCAGCGAAGCCGATTTGTTCCTTATGTTGCATTACACGTGTTTCCTTCAGCAATAGGAGCTTGCCCTCTCAAAAAAGGGTGTGAAGCATACCGGCGCAAACAAACACTCCCTTCGCACAACTCCCTGCCACAGCAAGAACACAAACAATGCAGCAAACAAACATCACCTCACGTCTTAAGGTGGAGGGGCGCGGATTGTGTGAACGGAGAAATGAAAGAACAACAACATATGCTTGAACTGAAGCCAACCACGGACAATATCATGGTACGATCCCATGCAAATAGAACTCCACCCAAAGGAGCATGCTTCCAACTTGGACCTCAAGGATAAATTCTAAAAGAACCTCGCCGACTTGTGGACTTGTGGAAGCAAGTGCTCGCTCCCTGGGCCGGGAAATTCAGGAAAGCCCGCGAGGCATGGAAGTTCCTGAGATGGCGGTGGGTCATTAAAAAAGGGACCCAACACGCCAAAATGGATCCCTGGAAAATGGAAACATGGACTAAAACCTGCGGTCCATTTCCTGTTGGTTAAATGTTTAACCAAAAACCAGATAGCAACACCCCGAAGTACGCGGCAGATTGCGCCCGTGGAGCTGATGAGCAAGGCAGCTGATGCACCTTTTCACAGGCCCGGTGCAATCAACCCTGCATGACTCCCCGCTCGCCGAAACATGGGTTTTAAAAAAGCGTTGCGTCCTCATCAGCTCAATACTGTGCTTGAAACTTAAACATGTAGTGTTGATGGCCTCTCAAGGTGTACCCACTTGTACGACCCCAGCCAGAACAAGCAGCCACAAGCCGAGGTGCCATCTCCGTCCTTCAATGTCCAGGTGTTCCCAGTCCAGCCCCCGCCAGGCCCTGTCGCGTCGATGGTGAGCGTCTCATCGGCCCCTGGCGAGAAACCGAGGGACCAAAAGGGCTGGAGCAGGGCCGTCCAACCTGTCCAATCAATGCTTACAACTAGCTGACTAGCTGTTTGTGGGGGGTGAACTTGTGGGTTCTGGGCTGTTCCGCATGTGGGGTCCCAACTTTCCGATCTTTCGTGAACCCTGGCGGCAGTGACCAAGAAAAGGATGCCCATTTGAAGGGACGCCCACCCACCAAGGGAACCACCGGAGGTTGGGTTGCAGCCTTTTCTTCTCTAATGTTGCGGTGGTGACCCATACCTCACCCAGACTCCGACCCTCTTTGTCCAAACAGCTGAGATGGGGTCGCTTCAATGAAACCAGCCCAACAAACAAACAGCTTGGGACAAGACAAACAACCATGGGTTGCAGCTGTTTCAAAGCAAACCTTCTGTCTTGCTGCTGCAAGACAAGCACAAATGGACACACACACACACACATGCTACACACAGATTTCCATGGGCCTTAAAGCAGCGTGGTTGAGTGAAGCATGGCAAACCAGCTGCGTGAGTGCTTGTTCTTGTGTTAGGGGGCTAAAGGGAAGCCCGGCTCGCATGGATGAAGTGCTTCCCAGAAAAGATGCCTTCCCCGCCCCGCCCATACATTTCTTGAGCGCTGGAAAGGCAGCGTGCCTTTCCAGGGACACTCTTCACCCCCAGCCACTTCCAAAAACTGTGAACCCCCCCCTCGAGGGCCTGGATTTTCTGACACATGGGCATGGAATTGAATTGGGAACCCTTTGGTGGGCAATTTTGAGGACTACCAACATGTTTTGAAGTTCGCCAGAAAAATGAGAGCTACGTCTTCCTGTCGCAGCGCGGGACATGAGACACAAAGAGCGTACATACCCCGTCTTGCCCGAATAGGCCGACTGCTTGTGACCGACCCTCACATGAGGTTGTCTCAAGAAGCCTGCCGATCGGGATCCCGCTCTTAAAGGGGAAGGGCGTGGGGAGCTGCATCAATTCCATTCTTCTAGTCCCCATACATGGGAGAATGGGTTGCCGGAACTGGAGATCTGCAGGGGCCCTCCCCCCTCCCCCAATTCCCATATTGTTTAGAGAGCCTGGGTAGATTGGGTGAAGAACACCTCCCGCTCACTCTCCTGGCCCGCCTGCATTGTTGAGGTCCCAAATCTCGTAGCCGATGCCGCTCCAACCATCCGCCATACTATCCTCGCCGAGGGGTCCACTGGCATCCTCCCTGCAAGTGACGTGTGCTCAGTAGCCCAAAGGACCTGGAACTAAAAGGTGATCACCTTTTGGGGCCATGACTAAAAATTGACCAACATTGGAAAACCAAAAGGTCAAAAGGTCGGCTTTGAACAACTGAGTGTGGCTTCTTTTGTGCTTGCATTTCACTTTGGCTGGTCGGGCGAGGACCTAAGCAGAGGCACCCGGCTCAAGTGGCCCAGTCCCCCGAGATTTAAAAAAACATCCTCCCCCCCAATCACGTGCGTGGCATCCAACATGGCGTTGATCCATGTCGATCCATGGAGCCCTTGCCCCAGCGCTAGAAGTAACAAGCATAAGCTTCAAACCAAAAGGACCTCCCATTCAATCCAAGCGGCCTGCATTTCGAATATCAGGTACCTCAGTCTGGCTGAAGTGTCCAGGGGCTCAAAAGCTCTTTTGCTAAATTATCTGCACCATTCACAAGCTTGAAAATCCCCGAAGTGACGGACCTTTGTTGTGAGCTCGTTTCACGAGCCAATTATTCGACCCCCACGTCTATCGACCTAAGGGTCGACACCACCAATACCCAACACACAACATTGAGCCACCAGTTAGCTCGCCTTGAATAAGCAAATTGATTGGAACCTCCATGAAGTACATCCCCGATTGAACAACACCAGTGCAATTTTGTCGCCAAGTGTTTTGTTGCCAGCACGTCACAAGGGTAATTAAAAGCCAGCTTGGCACATGGGAAAAAACTTGCGCCTGGGCAACTGTGGCATTGCTTTGGGGCTCGAAGCTGGGAAACAAAAAACAAAAAAAACATGAGATCCCCTTTAAAACCACCAGGCACAAATAAAGCGTGGAGCACGAGGGTAATGGATTTGAACAAAAAACAGTCTTTGACACTTTTGGGATCAAACGGCAACTCTGCTCCAGCCGCTTGCCAAGGCGCGTTTCTGATCCAGCCGCCTCGGCGCAAGGTGCCAAATAACCCGGTTAGAATGCCCGCAAGCCGTGCTGAATGAAGCCCAGTAAGCCCCTACTAAAACGAACAGAGCCAAACAAACAAAAAGGAACAACTTTCTAAACACCAACAATCCAGTGCGACAAAACGCACACACACAACTGCTCGGGTTTGGGTTGGATCGACTTTTGGCTTTGCCGTACACATCAACTGCCCCTTGACACCAACTCGGGTGTGATGCCAACCCTTGGTAAACTAAATGGAAACCACAGCCAAGAATAGAATGTACATTTGTGTAATTTTGTGTAAAACCCTCTTGGTCGGTTTCATTCGTTTTGACAAGGGCGCCAACAGAAAACCAACCTAAGGTTGCCGTGCAACTGCCGCCATGCCACCGCCGCTTCGGCACGCCGCCTGGGCAAACCACAGGCAAACTTGAGCTCAGCAAAACAAGCTGGTTGGTGCAAGCGTGGGCGCTGAACCATGAGCCAAACTTGCCCTGGATGCAAAATGTCTGGTCCTGCCTGTGTACTTTGCATGTCTGATAATGATCTCTGACATCACAACATTAGGCTCAATTGCCCAAAGCGAGGAAACATGTTGATATGTCGTTTTGGTCGTGGCGAGCGATTAAGTGACCATCTGGCATTCACTTTGCTTGGTTGACCGCCGTTCTTTTCCTTGGCGGCACAGCACATTTCATAATACATGGGGGGCACCGGCAGCCGGAAGAAAACGATGGGCTGCTGACATTGGGTGAAATGGGCAGGCAGGGATCACGTGCTGGTCTTGTGTATTTAAACTTATTTAGCTGACACATCCAAGCACCCAATTTGAAGAAACCCGGAGGCATCCGGAGGCCCACGAGCTTGGGGCCGGGGCAGGAGAAGTAGCAGCAGCTGAAATGACCGCCGCATGATGCCATTAGCCGACCGCGCCAGTTTTTGGCGCGGTAAAAAATGCCGCCGTGTTGTTTTTTCTTTTCTGACCGAATGATATGGGTGGTTCCGTGAGGGCTCCAATTGTTCTTTTGCATTGGGGTTGCTGTTGGTGGTCCTAACAGCAACATAAAGCGTGGCACGGAAAAACACGTTGTGAAACCGCCGCGGCCTACGTGGTGCACATGTCGAGGACCGCTTTGGGTCCTTGCAGCCAAAAGCGTCGGCGCAACGTGTTTCCTAATTCGCCACCCCCGAGGCCAACTGTTAAACCCAGGGCTCCAGTGTGCATGTCATGCATTGTCTTCTGCAGCATTCTTCTTGGCTGCAAAGCTGTTAAGACATTCGCGGCTCAATGTTCGGGTGGCTGGACACGTCATTTCGCGATACCTGTCGCAATCACACCGTCCCCTCAGCGTGGCAGCATCATCCGCCCGGCGCGACAGACGACAGATTTTTTTTTTCTCCGCGCGCGCGCCTTTTTCCGCAGTGGCTTCAACGTGTTTCAGGGGGGATTTTAAGGGGCGCCTCCGGGCACGGGAGGTCTTTGCCGCTGTTTTTACGGAGGCCAGCTCCTCACGTGCAGGCGGGCACCCTTCAGCGGACGCGGCTGCGCGCGGCAAACGGCTCCCCGCCGTCAGCAAGCACGTCACTGACCAAGGGCGGCGGCCCATCGACACCTGGGCGGGCAAGGCCAAGAGGCTGGCAGCGTACGCCCGGCTCGCGCCCGCGGCCAAGAAGGAGGACCAGCGCCGGGCAAAGGCAGCCGACACGGCGCCGCGCACACGAGGCGGCACACTTCTCGCACGCGCCCGCGCCAGCCGCTGCACGAAGTCCACGGTTTCCGGGCTGAAGCGCCCGCCAACCTCAAGCGCAAGGACCACCAGCCTGCAGCGTGAGTCAGGGCGAAGGAGCTCCGGGTATGTGCGCTCCTTGGCCCGTCGGGCTTGGCGCAGGGCTGCGCCCTCGGCTCTGTTCTGGTAGCGCCGCGGGGCACCTGTAGAGGACAAAGCCGACACCAGCGTGGTATCCACAGCAAGTTGCATGCCACCCCACAGGGGTAAGCCATTGGCTATGACTTCAATCCGCCGGTCATCTCCGGGCACGCTGCCGACATTGAGGTCCCTGACCAATGTGTGCATAGCAACCACGGCCCCTGCTTCACGACAAATGCGCGCTGCCGCCCGTTCAAGTGGGCCGCCCCGTGCTCGCAAGACACCAGATCGCGGACATGCAGAGCGGTGATCGCCAAGAGCGTCCTGCTCCCTTCCACACCGGCATCGCGCAGGGACGAAAGGCAAGGGCAAGCGCAGGCGTCGCAACAGCAACACACGGAAATGCGAGGGCTCCAAAATCAACTCCGGGCAAACGGGGAGCATCAAGAAGACCTGGGCTGAGCACGGTCCGGACTGGGACAGCAGCATGGCTGCAGAGGCTGCATCCAAGTTGTCGCTGTGGGCAGCCGCACTTTGCAAGTCAAGAGCTGCCGACGCTGCTTTCTGCCACCCCCGCCCGATGCCAGGGGCATCGTCCTCAACATCATGTGGTTGCGGCGCATCGTCGCCAAGGAGTTGGTGCCACTGAGGGGCCTCAAACCCCTGCCGAGCGAGCAGGGTCACGGTTGCCTTGAGCGTGTCCAGGACACGGCAACAAGGCACATCCGGCTCAAGTTGGCGTACAATATGTTGCGCGAGGTCGGGATCTCTGCGCTGGATCGCCGACAAGCTGTCAGCCCACGAGGCCCAAAACGCCGCGGGTGCATGCAACCGGGCTGAACGCAGCCCTAGTCCACCATGGCGGAAGGCAAGTTGGGAATGCCGACTGGCCGTGTCCGGGAGCGCCCCCCCGTCCTCTCCAAACAGCATCGCACTGAAACATCTCTGCACTGCAGCGTCGTGCTCAATGGCAAAAAGATCGGTGAGTTCTGGGGGTATGATACGAAGTGCATAGTTGGACCGCGGCGACGCACAGTACAGCAACAGCAGCCAAGCGACCTGCAGGTCAGGAAGGGTCGGGAGGACCTGCAGGAGGCGAAGTTGTTTGTTGCGCACTGCGTCGAGCTGGGCCCGCACGAACGCATTTCCGCCCAAAGGGGCTCCTAGAACGGTAATCCCTTGCTCTGCCTCGGGGAGCTGAGCATTGCCACGCCACACATCCGCTGCACTGATGTCCGCCAGGCCTGGCGGCTCCACTGCGGCTGCGTTCCACACACGTGTTTTTGCGTGATTAAGGGAAATGCGGGCACGTTCATACAGGCACCGGGACGCAGCCTGAAACAGCGGTTGTATGCGATCAGGCTGCGCTGTCAAGTACAAGTCATCCAAAAAGGCAAGGGAACGCTCCGACGACAGATTGCGATGCCGCTTTTTGACGGCACACGAGCACGCGTGGACGGAAACCCGCCGATAACTATCCTCGCAGGAATGACAATCGATGACAATGAAGCGGGAGCTGCACGTGGCGTCCGGCCGCGTCCAGCAGCTTGAGAGGTACGAGCACGTCCGACAAGAGGAGGCATCGAGCACATGTTCTTTTGTTTTTCCGCCGAAGACGCCGAAGACGGGTAATTCACTGAGGCCGAGCCCAGCCCCGCCAAAGCCAGACCGGGCCGCAAAGCGCAAAGGGCGCAGGTGCGCCCGCCACACGCAGGCCGGCGATGCCTGCCGGCCGCGCCCCAAGAGTGGGCAGAGCCAACAATCACTGGCGACCAGGTACCCGTGCCCCAGGCCTTTTACATGGCTTGAGCTCCTCGAGCCCCACAATCTGAAGACAGGGGCGCTCAGGTTTCTGTTTCCAGCCAGCCTGCCTGCCTGCGTGCCTGCCTGCGTGCCTGCCTGTTTGCGGCACATGTCGCAGTTTTGGGAGGTGCGACGCACAAGCTGCCGAACAAAGTCGGTTGCATACAAACCCCAAATCTCAGTTGCAAAAACTCGTGCAGCTCAGACGCTGCACGCTGAGGCCGGTCGGCCCCCGCCCCCCGTTCCAGGCTGACTCGAGATCCCGCGGCCAAACACCACTGAGACCCCTAACGTTGAGTTCCGTGACGCTTGTTTCCTCCACAGTTCGAGGACTGGAGCTCATAACTTGTCTATTCTATTCTCAAAAGATAGGTGAATTGGTAGGTCGAAAGTGGTGGGGCGACGACACGGTGGAGGCGGGGAGCGCCAAAAATAAGGCCTAGTTTAGGACGCAGTTTAAGGTCTAGTTTGGCCAATTTTTTCTTCACTACCAGGAGCCTCAAAAACCGATGAAAAAATAATACCTACAAAAAACACGGTGTTTTTTAGGAAAACACGATGTTTTCGGGAAACACCGCATTTTCGATTTCAAGCAGTTTCCCATACATTCCTTCAACTCGTCATCCGTTCTCAAAAGGTCTCAAAAGCATCATCTCAACCTCAGAATTTCCCATCGCCCTGTTTTTTCTTTTTCTTCTTTTTTTTCTCCCTCCCCTTTTGCACTCGCAACGAAATCAGCTTCGCATTCGCCACTCGTCTTTCGCAACTCCAACCTGAAAGAAGGTGGCCGGGGACCCAAATAGTCAAAAGTACCACGGTTTTATGACACTTGCCAAGCAGCAGCGCCATGATGAGGGCGTGCTGGCTTCGAACAGCGCGCAAGCTCAAGCAAAGACCGTGCTTTTTCTCAGGACTTCGTTGTTTTCCAGCAACATTTTCGAATTAGCGCATTCGTGGTTGAACCCGAAAAACCCATAGAATTTCCACGCTTTGCCACGCTTTACTACGGGCTCTCCACGGTTTAGCTACGGGTTAGAAAACACGATGTTTTCCAAAAACACGATGTTTTCGGTTGGGCTGCGGGCTTTCTACGGGTTTCTACGGGTTTTCTATGGGTTTCTACGGGTTTTCTGCGGGTTTCTGCGGTTAGCCGCCAGGATCCCGCCCCACTTGCTAAAAAAAACTCAAACTTGATAAAAACAATCTCAAAAGTGTCACCTGGTCTTGTTTTGCACCAAAAGGAGCTTTCGGATTCCAGCACCCCCTTCAAACTGGTTCGGTATGACCTGGCGCCAGTCTTCAGGTGCCTGTTGCTGTGAAAGGTACTTCAAGACTGAAGCCAGCTGCACACCCTGGCTGTCAGGCTCATCAATGTGGTCCTTAGAATTTGAAGCATACTCAGTATAGAGCGTTGCCCTCAGTTGAAATCTTAATGGGTGATGTCTGTGTGAATCCACTCCCGACCCTTGCCTTTGACCCTTTGCTCCAAATGAGTGTTTGGCCTCAGTAGCCCATTTTTAAGGGGTTTTATCAAAAACACGATGTTTTTCCTGAAGACACAATGTTTTCAGAAAATCGAGAAGAAAAAAAAACAATGTTTTAGTCAGGGTACGACATTTTTACAGGCTCTTGAAGCCCTAGGTAGACCTGAGTTTTTTGGCGAGCCCCGCCCTCGCCCCGCTGTCGCTCCGCTGTCGCTCCGTCGTCGTCACCCTGTCGTCCCCCCGCCGTTTTCCTTCGTCAGCCCGTCGTCACCCTGTTGCCACCCCGTCACCCATCAACAAAATGACACCGTCCGTCCGTCATGTA